TCATAAGACTCCCTAAGATACAGGGCTACCTCACCTCCTCTCTTTCCTTGCCTGTCCCTTTTTATCCCAACTTGTGAGTTTTACCTTTTTTCTGGTTCTTTTCCTCATCACACTATGGGGACAAGTGAACGAACGGCTGTGTAGTGTGTAGCTGCCTGCAAGGTTAAACCACAACAACATGGCATTGTTCAGAATCCTTTTATAGTTGGAACTTTTATAGCTACTGCAGCCAACAAAGCTCGCAAGGTCTTGTCTTTGAACCTGTACTGCTTTTGTAGCTTCTGCAGCTACTCCTGTCCATACTGGAATTTCTGAAACAACTTTTTCCGCAGCTACTTTTCTTCCTGGTGGGAAGTGCTTACGTAGGATACACGACACACTCTGATTATTGTTCTCTAAGAAGTCAGTTTGCAACACCTCTACACTCCTTACTTGTCCCTGCAGCTAGAGTTAAGTACAGCATGGACTAAAAACATGACCACAAATGCTTTCAGGCTTTTCTTCCAGAATAATATTGTCTATGCAGAAATACTGTTTGTATCAAGTTCTGAATCAAACTTGCTGCTCTTTCGTTTTGGCATTGCTGCTGTTGCTGTGTCTCATTCAGTAGCAGTAGGTCTTCGGTGATTTGTGAGGGCTTTCAGCTTTTGGTAGGATGGTAGATGGAAGAAAAGCCCTTAGGCTTTCATATTCACAGTGGCAGCTGGATTAGTAACAGTCTTTCCTGTTCTGTGTTTGCTATGTTCTTGTTTTAAGAACTGCAAGTTCTTTTTTCTCGAAGAAAAGCTGATATTTCTACAAATAGGCATACTTATTTCCCACTCTAGCAAAGATTATTTTATAGTGCCAACCTCGGCATCCCTATTTAGTATTAACTAAAGTCAGTCTGATGTTTGTCTAAATATAATGTGGATCATATTGTCTTGTTCTCTTCTGAGGTTTTTGTAGCTGTTAAAAGATTTGGTCTTCTGTTTCATACTGGTAGTAGAAACTCGAGTTTCCTACTGCTTTTAGTAACCTAGAATTGCTGAGAATCACCATACTACCATCTTTTTCTAATGCTTAGAGTTACACTTTTGCAGTAGGAGTGTCGGATGCCAAATTACCACTTACTATTTAGTGCTTTTTCCTTGCTTGGCTGGGGGTGATGTTATTTTTTTTTTTTGGGTGCTGATCACAGCCACCTTCTTGCTCTCTGCATGGATTCACCAGTACAGACAAAAAACTGCAGGGAGGAAGCAGGCATTGATTGTTTCATCTGCGCTTCTGTCTGCCTGTGTTCAACTGATTCCCTAATAAGAAACATCTATTGACTCTCACAATGGTCAAGCAAAAGCCTGTGGGAAAACAGGGTTCATGCACAGTCCTTAAGCACTGAGAGAACTCTTACATAAAAGATTGTGAGTTTTTTCATAGCTAGAAGAAGATAAGTGATAAATCTTGCAAGCATTTATAGAAGGTGCTGAATTTTTTTTTATTTTTCCCCCTCGTTATGTTTTGCAGATCTTGCAGAAATACTCAACCAACTCCCCTTTGCCAAGGGGTCTTATAGGGTTATACATATTTAAAATGCTAAGCTAAGCCATCACTTAGAACAAGGGAACAGTAATGGTTGTTATTGTTGACAGTTAGTTGTCTACTCTGTTCTAAAGACCAACCAATAGTGGAAATTCTGTAAGTTACCAGGTATTATATTCCAGTCCTTCAATATCCTTAGTTTAGAAGCCAAACAATTTTTGAGACTAATTGTCCTATCCACCACAAAGAAGATGAAAGTGTTGTTCTCTTGAGGATTTTTTTACCCCCTTTGCCATCTCTTTTCCTTGGTTAAACAGTCCTAGTCTTTTCTTTGAATGTTTTAATGTTTTCTAGACTTCACTGCTTTCTTATGGACGGTCTTCAAAATTTTCAGATTTTCTTGAGCGTATTGCCTGAGGTTGGCTACAGTGCTTCTAGTTAGTACTTGATGTCCTCATCAGTTGAATAGAAGGACTGTTTCATGTTTTGTGGTCTGTATTCCTGTGCAGGTATCTTAATGCCGTGATGGCCTTTTTCCTTATAGGATGATGTGTAGGTTAAAGTTCTTGTAACTCTTGACAGACCTTCTTTTTATATTTATTAATAAAGAACAGTACTTCTGAGGAAAGGTTAAATATAATACATGTAACAATTTATGAGCCTGCCATAAAGTCACAGTTTATTCTTTTTTGCAGGCTGCTGTAGTGCTCAAAACCTTAGGGTATAAAATGCTAATTCTGTGGTTAGTTTCTGTGTGTGACACTGGTTTGCTCTGCTGATCTGATTTTGCCTCTTCTCACAAGACTGATGGTTTAGTACCTTGTCCTGGTTTGGACAGGGATAGGGGTAATTTTCACCAGAAACTGGGATGGGACACAGTCCGGTTGACCCAAACTAGCTAAATGGGTATTCCATATCATGTGAGTCATGCTCAATATATAGCTGGGGAGCTGGCTTGAGGAAGGAACAGAAGGAGTGCAGCAGAGTGCAGGCCACAGTTTACTTTCACTTGGAGGGGGGTCCAATACACTTGGAATTGACTGCCCCAAGGGTGGAAACACAGCCCTACCATTCGCGTGGACTGATCCAGACTGCATTGGAGAAGGGTGGAGCTCCAGAACATCTGCAGTACATTGACGACATCATTGTGTGGGGCAACAGAGCAGAAGAAATTTTTGAGAAAGGAAATAAAATAGTTTGGATCCTCTGAAAGCTGGTTTTGCCATAAACTAAAGTAAGGCAAGGCACCTGCACAGGTTCTTAGTAATAAAGTGGCAAGGTGGATGCTGTCAGATCCCAATGGATGTGATCACCAAAATAGCAGCTATGTCTTCACCAACTAGTAAAAAAGAAACACAAGCTTTCTTAGGCATTGTGTGTTTTTGGAGGATGTATATCCCAGATTACAGTCTGATTGTACGCCCTCTCTATCAAGTGAACCAGAAGAAGAACAATTTTAAATAGAGCCCTGAGCAATGACAAGCTTTTGAACAAATTTAAACAGGAAATAGTTCATGCAGTAGCCCTGGGGCCAGTCCGGACAGGACAAGATCTTATCTTACAGAACATGCTATAGACTGCAGCTGGGATAACAGACCTACCTGAAGCTTCTGGTAGAAAGCACCAGGGGAGACTCGAGGTCAGTCCCTAGGGTTTTACAGTCAGGGATACAGAGGATCTGAAGCCCGCTCTACTCCAACTGAAAAGGAGATATTGGCAGCGTATGAAGGGGTTTGAGCTGCTTTGGAAGTGGTTGGTACTGAAGCACCTCGACTCCTGGTGCTGGGCTGGATGTTCAGTGAGGGGGAGGTCCCCTGTGCGCATCATGTGACTGATGCCACGTGGAGTAAGTGGGTGACACTGATCACAAAACTAGCTTGAATGGGAAGCCTCAGTTGCCCAAGAATCTTCAAAATGATCATGAACTGGCCAGAATGCAAAAATTTTTGGGATATCACCAGAGGAGGAGGTGACAGTGTGCGGAAGAGGTCTCACCATGTAATAAACTACCAGAAAATGGGAAGAAACATGTCCTGCTCACTGATGGGTCCTGCTGGATTGTGGGAAAGCATCGGAAGTGGAAGGCTGTTGTGTAGAGTCCTACATGACAAGTTGTAGAAGCTGCTGAAGCACAAGGTGAATCGAGCCAGTTTGCAGAGGTAGAAGCCATCCAGCCAGCTTTAGGTATTGCTGAACAAGAAAAATGGCCAGTATTTTATGTCTGTACTGACTCATGTATGGTGGCAAAGGCTTTGTGGGAGTGGCTACAGCAGCGGAAGCAGAGCAACTGTCAGTGCAGAGGTAAACCCATCCGGACTGCTGAACTGTGTCAAAAAATTGCTGCCTGGATAGAGAACCTGGTTGTGAAAGTACGTCATGTAGATGCCCATGTACCCAAGAGTCGAGCCACTGAGGAACATCAAAACAACCAGCAGGTAGATCAGGCTGCTAAGACTGAAGTGGCTCAGGTGGATCTGGACTGGAAACATAAGGGTGAATTATATATAGCTTGATGGGCTCATGACACCACAGGTCACCAAGGAAAAGATGCGACATACCGATGGGCTCGTGACCGCGAGGTGGACTTGACCATAGACACTATTGCACAGGTTATCCATGAATGTGAAACGTGCTGCAATCAAGCAAGCTAAGCAGTTAAATCCTCTTTGGTATGGAGGATGATGATGGCTGAAATGCTAATATGGGGAGGCCTGGCAGATTGATTATATCACACTCCCACAAACCTGCGAAGGCAAGCACCACGTGCTCACAATGGTGGAAGCAACCACTGGGTGGCTCAAAACATCCACTATGCCCTATGCCACCACCTGGAACACTATCCTGAGCCTTGAAAATAAAGTCTTATGGTGACATGGCACCCCAGAGGGAATTGAGTCAGACAACGGGACAACATTTCTGAAACAGCCTCATAGACAGCTGGGCCAAAGAGCATGGCATTGGAGTGGGTATATCGCATCCCCTGTCATGCACCAGCCTCTGGAAAGGTCGAAAGATACAATGGACTATTAAAAACTGCACTGAGAGCCATGGGTGGTGGGACCTTCAAACACTGGGATACACATTTAGCAACAGCTACCTGGTTAGTCAACACCAGGGGATCTACCAGTTGATCTGGCCCTGCCCAATCAAAACTTCCATGTACCGTAGAAGGGAATAAAGTCCCCGTAGTGCACATGAAGAATATGTTAGGGAAGACAGTCTCAGTTATTCCTGCCAGGGGCAAAGGCAAACCCATCCGTTGGATTGCTTTCACTCAAGGACCTGGGTGCACTTATGGGGTGATACGGGAGGATGGGGAGGTCTGATGTGTACCTCACGGGGATTTTGGGTGAGAATAGCTAATGAATCAAATTGTATGATGTTAATTGCTTAATAACCCTGCCACTGTATGACATCATTACTATAAATGCTGTATGCCATATCAGTGGTACTACAGTAAGAATCACGCAAATTAATGACAGATGGACTTCAGCATCAAAAGCTGGGACACAGCCTTGTTGGCTGACCCAGATTCGCTAAATGAGTACCCTTGCTCAGTACGTAGTAGGGAAGTTGTCTGGGGGAGGGGACAGAAAAAGCCACTTGGTATTGCGCTGGGCTTTGGATTCCGGTTGGTGAGCGGTAGTACGTTAGTCATGTTTTGTATATTTCTCTATCAGCAGTATTATTGTTGTTTTCCTCTTTCTTTCGCTGTTCTGTTAATCTGTGAGCTTTGCCTTTTTCTTCCAGTTCTCCCCCTATCCCCATGCTGTGGGGGGAGTGAGCAAAAAAAAAAAAAGAAGTTTTTTTTATCTGAATCGGAATGGAAATGAAAACACCTTTTAACAGGTTTGCAAATAACATTGAACTATTATTTGTATTTGTAATTCTTTAGGTATGCCATCTCAGAAACACATGTGAAATTTGGTCTAAGAAATGAGTACTTAAGTAGCACACATTCTGTTGTTGCTTGTGCTAATGTGACTTATTAAATATTGTCAGCTGTTGTGGGATGGAGGTTTTTTTGTTACTGTCCTTGACTCATCAAGTTGGGGGCAAGTTCTAGAACAGTGTGTTGCAATGCATGATAAGACTTCTCTGTCTGTCTTTTACAATACAGGTTAGTAATAAAATATTTCTGTCTCTAAAAATGATTACTTCTGACAAATGATATTTTTTTCCCTTTCTTTACAGATATTTTCCAACTTATCCCTGAATGAACGTTGCCTTTCAGCATCATTAGTCTGTAAATATTGGCGTGACCTCTGTTTAGATTTTCAGTTTTGGAAGCAACTGGATCTCAGTAGTCGTCAACAGGTATGAAGGTATCATTGTGGAACAGTTATGTTTTGGTGACTTAGGATTTTTCTCAGAACTTGTACTCTTGACCAAAAGTAAACAAAAGAAACACATGAAATGGTGATGTCTGTGTTTTCAGGGATTTTTCTACTAGAGGCCACAGGTTCCAAATCCTTACGTCCATCCTTTAAATGTAGCTTCTTTTGACAGAGATCAGTTGTTAAAAAAGTGTGAGGACAAGTGCTCTTTCAGATGGATTGTGGGTTACCTGTCTCAAGTCTGTATCAGTAGTGACAGTTCCATTCATGTGAACTATCAGATTTCATATTAATTGAAAGACGTAGGTGAGCTTCTCTGAGGATTCTCTGTTTTGAAGAACGGCCACATAGCTGGTGCTTGCTGTGCTTGTTTTAAAAAATTTTCTTCAATTTTTCTTCAACTGATGTGGCTTCTACTGACCAGAAGACAGATTGTGTCTTTTTAGGCCTTTAGCCAATCTTAGAATTAAATATTTCTGGGATTCATGGATTTCATTTAGTGAGATCCTTACAGACCCTAGCCTTAGATTGTTCAGGTTAACTTTCCTCATTGGAAAACTTCTTTAAGGATGCCCATGTTGGCCACCCCCTTTAGCTTTCTTGTTACTTAATTACTTGTAGAGGTTTACAAAATGGTTTATTAAGAGTTTCATGAAAATACAGGGTGCAGGGAAACAAGCATTGGAGGGTCCCATTTGAAGAAGTGGCAACGTGAACTTGTCTTTGTGGGACATAAATAATCTACATGGGATATTATTTTCTGACCATGAATTCATAAGAAAGCATGCAAGTTCTCTTGCTTCTAGAATTACTAGTTAACGTATTTCTGAACCACTATGGAAAAGTCGTATAGCAGATTGTCTGATTTTTCTCAAGGGACTCCAAAGCACTCTCAGACCAGAGGTCCATCTTTTTGTTCTATGTGTCAAATAAGTCTCTTCTACACTGTCTTGAGATGTAGCCTTGTTTCTACTACAAAGGTTTTTAATGGTTTTGCCTGTTAGGTATGTTGGGATCTCAGTTTATCAGTTCTGACGTTGCCCTAAGAATCCTATCTTGCAAAATTTTTTTTTTGAGTTCCTAAATCAATATTAAGCACAAATGTTATCCTCCTCCATGTGTGGGGAGGGTTTGGTCATTTGGATTTTTTTTTTTGGTTATTGTTGGGGTGGTTTGTTTTTGGTTTTTTTTGGCGGGGGGTGTGTGTGTGTGTTCAGGCATTGTTTGTGGGTGGATTGTGGGGTTTTTCTTTGGGTGTTTTTGTTTGTTTGGTTTGGGTTGTTGGGGGGTTTTTTGCAATTTGTCATATTTTCTAGCTAACAGCTCCCTGATGAAATAGCAAGAAAAAAGATTAGACTTGCTACTAATGGAAAACAGATTGAATGCAGCAAAGAAAGTGTTTGTTTCTCAACTGTGTAAGAGAAAACCAAAAGGGATTGGTGTTGCTCTCTTGTCCTCTCCAGGCTTAAAGCTAAATCTCATCTATGCTAAGTGGTAGATAAGTATTCCTGAATGGTTTTGTTAGAAATACTTTCATCATATGTCACCAGTTTTTTTGAAGCTAAACTTTTAAAGTGGGGGAGTTCTATGCATTGTGTCTTACCCGCTTTGCGTGCGTTTGTTTTCTTTTAACTTAAAAGCTTCAGCATGAGGAATATCTTATGTTTCTTACCTGCTTGGTAGGACTGGCTTCTCTTAAAATTATTGATATGTTAGCAAACTACGACGTGTACAGGTATAAAGTGGATAGAATCTTTTTTCTTCAAAGGAGCTCTGGGAAAATAGTGCGTGTATCAGATTTAATGGTCTTTCATAGACTAATGCTTAAAATATGCAAGTATACTGTTTTAAAACTGAGCAAATAACTGAGGAAACTTCTGGGTTTTAATTAGCTTTCTTTTTTTTCTTTATTAATGTGTTCGTTCTTTCTCATCTTTTTCATTCACTGCTACCTTAAGTGACTGTTTTCCATTAAGAAGCCCATTGTTACCTGCTGGGTTTGGATGATTACCAAAGCCTAAGTAAAAACCTGTTGCATTTCAGAGACATAAAACCTTTACTTCTCTGTAAATGCTACCTTAGGTATGCGAGTAGAGTGCTGATATAGAAGGGCAAGCAAATACTTCTCTTCTAAAGGATGGAGAATTCTTTGTCTAAAACATGAAGAGGACCATTAACAGTTATTTTCTTCAAGTGTTGGAGCGGATTTCTTTAGAGATAACTATAAAACTGATTATACCAGTATGCTCTTGTCATGGAAAACAAATCTTTTCATTCTCCCAATAGCTTACAGAAATGTGTCTTACAAATATTAGTTTTTGTTCTAATGAAATTAAAGATGTCTATGAAAAAAGTTAAATTTGAATATTTGGATTTTCATTGCAGGTCACTGATGAGCTGTTGGAAAAGATAGCATCAAGAAGCCAGAATATTACTGAAATCAATATTTCTGATTGTCGCAATGTATCTGATACAGGAGTATGCATATTAGCAATTAAATGTCCTGGACTCCTGAGGTATACTGCCTACAGGTGTAAACAGCTTTCTGACACCTCTATCATTGCAGTTGCCTCTCAGTGTCCTCTTCTTCAGAAGGTGCATGTAGGCAATCAAGACAGACTCACTGATGAAGGCCTAAAGCAGGTAACCACCCATTCCACGAATTTCTTTTGTAAATTTAGTATCTTTCAACTTCTTACCAGGTAAAAATAGGGACATGGAAGAAGGTACCCTCTTCTAGGATTTAATTAGAATCAGTTAACCTCTTCTACTTTAAAAATTGGTTTATGGACATATTTTCTTAGTGCAGTGAATGCTGTTCTCTAAACACTGCGCATACTTTTTTTTTTTATTAAATAATATGCAGGGATTAAATGATCTGTTTTGTAATGAAATCTCCAATTTGACATCCTATACTTCACCTCTGGCTGATTGAGCTTTCCTGAGCTTAGTTGCTATTTGGAATCAGTGTTTAAATAACTCTTTTTTGCATCATGAAAGCTGAAGGTGCCTGAGATCTTTATTTGTTAGGCATGTAGGAAAGTTTTATCAACTGTCTCTGTTGTGTTAAAGGAACATTTAGGGTAAGCTGTGAAGAGTTACGTTAAATCAAATATGCTGTCAATGGTCTAGCATATAGTCATTGTTAGCCACTGTTAGCCACTTACATATACGTGCAATAACTAACTTCTTCTGCGCTGCTCTTAGTTCCATTTTGTTGACTATAGTTGGCAACTTCATTTTGTCATGTGTGTAATTATAATCTTTCTTGTTTGTGTACAGTGCTTACAAAACCTGTAAAGAAAGATAATTTTTAAGGGGTGACGGAGAAGCAGAAAGAAATCTTAACTCCCAGCTCTCCAGTTCAGTCAAATGCTGTTTTTTTTTCCTTTATTCTTAAATACTTGCTTTGATTTCATTAATTGCAGCTGGGATCAAAATGCAGAGAACTGAAAGACATTCATTTTGGGCAATGTTACAAGATCTCAGATGAAGGAATGATCATTATAGCTAAAGGCTGTCTGAAGTTGCAGAGAATATACATGCAAGAAAACAAATTAGTAAGTACTTGTCATGATTTTTTTTTTTCCACAGCATTTTTTCATTGTCAAAGCTTTCTCTTGCTTTTTGTCTGTGTAAAAAGTTCTTCTGAATAGCTGCTTTTTGGCAGTGAATTGCTTAAAAATGTTCTCTAGCTGTGAAAATCTAGGTCCTACAGAGGTAGCTCAGAAGATGACTCAAAGTACAAGTTAAGCTAATGCTATTCCAGATACATGTTATCTTTTGGTTTCCACATGACATTCCAGGAGTTAATTGTTTGGGACATGCTTGATTTGTGTAGGAAAATGCTTAGTCCCTACATAATGTTTCTTTTTACCAGTGGGTTTTTCTACAGTAAAAAGTGCAAACTTATCTAAACTGAAAGATTTTTTGGGGGTTGAGTTCTTGATAACAAATAATACACTTCAATAATGTTTTCTTGAAATATGTCACTTCCTCATCAGGATGCAGTAGAGTAGTGTGCCTGTGCTAGTAGAAGGAAGTTGTTGAGGAATAATAACACTATCTTGTGTCTTAATTATAAGCAGTCTTTGAAATTATGGTTTCTAATACTGAAAACCAGTATCTACTGGAATGGCATAGTAGTACACTGGCTTTAATTATTATTTTTTTTTTTCCTTGCAAGTGAGTAGAAAAATTTGCTTGCATTTCAATTCTTAACTGTCAGCTAATGTCAGGGTTATAACCATTAGTTTGAAATCTGCTGAACAGGAACAAATACATTGTCTTTATGAGAAAATGGCATACCTTATACTCAGAGTCATTTGATATTTGGCTTCAAATACAGAAACATGATAGTTTTAAGATAGTTTTAAGATGGTAAGATGGTTCATTTGAGAATGGTTTCTATTTAAAAAAAAAAAAAGCCATTTATTGGTTTTGATCAAATTGTAGGACGTCGAGAAATAGGAGATAATGGCCAAAACTGAGACATCTCATAGTAATTCAAATGCAGAAATAAAATCTTGAGTACTGTCAAAATTAGTCCTTGTAAAATTTATCTAATACATTAAAATCTTTAATTAAAGAAAAGGAAGAGAAATTAAAGTTCTGAGAAGCCTGGAAGTAAAGCATACTCCTGCAAAAATTAACTGGAGAAAGATAGGGAAATTCAAAGTATCTTTGAATGAAGGAGGAAAAACTTGTTATGCATAATCAAGGTTTGCATAATGGTATGTGAAGGATTACTTAATTGTACATAAATATGATTATATGTATAAATACCCACATAAGTGCGTTCTCATTGGAAAATATGTGGGTGAGGTGTTAATTTGACCTTCCATATAGAGATGTCTTACACTTCTTGCCATTTCAGTTTTTATTCTCTTTATAGTCTGAAATGTAACCTAAGAAGCTAAGATTACAATTGTTAGCACTTAAAAGTTCTGCGATTTTATTACCTGTCATCTAAGTTCTCAGTTGACAAGGGAAATAAAAAGTATCTTCTTCTTAAGACAATCAGGAAGAATGTTCCTCACTTGCACTTTATTTGGTTGCCTTCATTATTGGAAATGTAACATTAATTTTTCATTGGAAGTAAGACAAAAATATGTACTGTGAATAGAAAACTTCTGTTAATTATTTCATCACCTCTGAAAATTTGTTGAGTGACTTATCAAAACTAACCCTGTGCACAATTTTTCATGAATGTATTTTTTTAATATTTAATTTTATTTAAAGTTGCTGGCCAATTTTAATTTTTCAGGAAAAAATAAACTTGGGGCAAACTTGGTTTAGCTTTGTAAAGTCCAAATTCAGCTCCTTAAATCTTGGTTTAGAAATGTGAACGTGAAATAACTTATAAAGCTGTTGGGAACACTAGAGTGTTGAATCTTTAGAATTCCAGTAGATGACAAAGCTGCAGAAACTGATGTGATTTCCCCTTGCTAGGGGGAAGAGACTTTCAAGTCTTGCTGCAAGTGTAATTTTGTATGATGAACCAAGAAAACACGTAGGAAGTTCTTATGCGGTTTTAAAATAAAAAATTTCACCTTCCAAAATAAAAAAAAAAAAAAGGAATTGTTTAATGCTGCAGAGTTAGCTTAAAAGATAGTAGTGGTTGGCGGCAAATGATAATCCACTGGTAGATTTATGAAATTCTGTGGGTTACTTTTTAAGACTACTGTCTAAAATAAAACTACTGTTAATATTTGCTGTGGTACATCTTTACATCCTATTCTTCTGGTGAAGAAGGTGGTTTGGGGAAATGTGTTTGTTTTCAAAATAAGTAATTATTCATTCTTTGAGATCAAAATATTCTGTGGCAATGGAAGTGTAGTTGATATATGAGGGCTTGGTTTGTGTGTTTGAAGTTCATAGATGGTCAGTCTGCTATAGGCAGAAGACTCCTTTTCTCCTTCGCCCCCCTCCACCCCCCCCTTTTTACACAGCTTTTGTAGCTTCTGTGTGCATACTGTAAATCGACTCTGTGTTTGTTATTTTCTTGTTTCTTCCTTTTTCAGAGGTGCTCAAAATCATGTGACTCTTACAGGCAATTTCTCTTCATTTCAAAATGCGTAGTCCATTGTAGATGGTACATGATGGCTGGGTTTTCATGTAGGCTTGTCTCAGACTAATGGATTTTATACTTCAAAAATACATCTATACAGAGGCAACCAGCAGCTAAATAATGCCTTTGAGAGTGTTACTTTAAAATGAAATGTGGATCAGGCAACACAGTTCAGTTGCTTCATCTGTTGCTAAGTAACTCCATTATCAGACTGCTCAGCAGAAACAGAGAAAGAAGAATTTATGTTCTGATTGTTTAATATACTAGGCTTTTCAGAGAAAAATAGACCCTTTCCTTATTTGAAATGCTGATTATGTCATGGTAGTAAGTGAAAACTGCAAATAACAAAGAGCTGCAAAGGATGTGTGAGGAAAAAGTTAAGATCTCAAGGCTAACTTAACAACACAAGGTTGTTGTTGTTTGCGTAAGTGTTTATGATTTGTATCTGTTAAAAATATGTTTATTTTTTCCTCTGTCCTTTGAATGGCAGAGTAATTATATTCAAAGCCTCTTTTCTGAAGCATACTGGCCAAACTGGGAACCTAGTGAAAAAAAAAAATTAAAAAATTGCAGGACTTACTTAGAAATTATGCTAGTATGTTGAGTTGTCTTTCCTTATCTGTCCCCAAGCAGTCTGATAGAATCAATCAATCTCACAGAAAATCAGGGTGAATGGAAGAACCGATTATAACTCTGTCCAGACAAAAATGGGAAATTTCCTAGCTTCTTGGTTGAGTTTAGTTGGACTTCTTATTTTATGGTTGTGGCTGGAATTGAATGCTGTGAGTAAAACTTTCATGTTTGCTTCATATGAATGATTAATGTGAATGAAGCTAGTGGAAGATGAATTGGTTAATTTCATTGTTAACTTTCTATCAATCCCTTTTTGTTCTTCTACCCCAGATAGATAGTACATAGCTTCAGCTGCAAAATCGGAGAACGGCTCCACATTAACATCACTGAGACATGGGGCTGCGCTTAACCTGAATCGTCAAGGAAAATTAATACTTTTCATTGCAGCCTTCCCTAGAAGAATGGAGCCCTAAAAGGTTTTGTGACCTTTTCGTAGAGAGATGCATAACAAGTTTGTGACTACAGTGTGCCCAAAGGGAATGATTGCCCCCAGAAGCAATTTTGTACAAGCAGTGTGTAAACCAGTAATTTCCTCATATGAGTAGAGTAGACCTGGATTTGTGAGCTCATTTTAGAGCTGGGAAAAACCTTTTCCACTTAACTATGTTGATTTTACACACTCATTTATTTTTCATTGCTTTTCCTTAACTGAGTGACTTAATGGCTAAAATTATAATACAATGGTTGCTGAAACTTAGCAGGTGGGAATTATAGAATTGTACCTCCCTATTCCAGACAGTGTGTGTGTTTTTTCATGGTAAATTAGATGTGGATGAGGAGAAGGAGCTTCTAAAGCTGAAGGGAGATGGAATTTTAGATACTATAACAGGACGTCAGCATTCCTACCTCTATACTTCTGTCCGTTCTTTCCTCTATTTCAAGCTTGTTCATGTGTAGATGGGAAATAATACTGCAACTAAGCTACTACAGTTGGAATTCTGGCAGCATTTCTCCCTTTCCAATGAAATGATCTTGTGAATTACATGACTTCAAGACAAATCATTTGTCTGATGGTTCCTGGATATGTTCATTAAGGTGGTTATGGTCCAACTTGACCATCTTTCTAGTTCCTGGTTTGTCTTTTGGTTCTGTCCCAGGACAGTGTCTAGTGTGAGTGGAGGACATAGATAACCAAATTTTGATCCAATTGGCAGTGTGTTTGATAATCTTTTTTTCATGCTCAATGTGTGAGAACACCTTTATAGTGAATATATTACAGATAATTATTTAATGGCATCTTTAAAGATGAGTATTCTGCTAGTGTTCTGCCCATCTTTGCAGTTTGTAGCAGATAATAGAGTAGAAATTTGTGTTAACTGTGATGCTGCATTTGGTAAAAACCATAATACTTAAGATATGTGAATAATATACTTTTTTTAGTTTCAGTAAAAGAGAATTAAGATAGACTAAAACATTTCAGTTTTATGTCATGTAATTAAATACTTAACCTACCCTTTTACAGCGTTGACTGGAATGAACCTAGTATAAAAATCTGTAGTGCAAAATAGCCTTAATTTTCATGTTTTCTGAATAATCACAGCATCATGTAATCTTATTAATTTATCCTTATGTGTTTTACTGAGATCCCCCCCCCTCCTCCTGTTTTTCACTTTGGGAAGCTGTTCTCTTTCTTCTTTGTATGTGTTAGCTACAAAACACTTACTTAAGCAGCGTGCCCTGTGAATTACACAGGGCAAACATGGAGAGGACAGAGTACTTTGCTTTGAGTTTAGTCCAGGCAAATTGTTTGAGGAGAAAAGTCAGTGTTTGAGGCATATAAACTGCGCATCATCTGATGTGGGCTACTGAAGTGTAGAATATATAGAAATCACTTGCTTTTTTACTAGTAACAAGTAA